CGCAGGGCCATGGGCCAGTGAGGAGCATCTCGTGGAGACAAAATTTGTTTCAATACCGGATACAAGTTTTGAGAAGTCAACTCCAAAGTGTAGATGTCAGTTTGCTTGTTTTTTGGTAAAAATATTTTCTTGAATGTGGTCAAGGATAAAGTCTTTGGAATCAGTGTATTGGTGATTTTTAAAGATATAATAAAATGAAGAGATACAGATACTTCAATATTTTTTCTGTAAGAGATAAGGATTTACACAATTGATGTGTGTATGGATTGGGACAACAGTTGTATGAGCCCCTAATAAAATGTTAAAAAAAAAAAAGAGATAAGGAGAACCCTGTAAGTTAGATGAGGAGAACTGAGGAAGAGTGGCACCTTGGAAACCAAGTGTTTAAAAATGCACTGAGAAATTAATCCAGGCAGGTGAAATGGCCATGGTGTGTGGCTGGATAGTTTTTGGTGTCCTTCCCAAAAGTTTGAGTGAAATGGTCCGGTGGACAAAAGCCTTAGTAGCACATTCAAGAGACAATGGAAGGGCAGAAAACGTCAATGTTTTCAAGAAAGAATAACTGAACTGAGAGGGCACTAGGCTCCAGCTGTGAGAAGAGTGAACATAGTCATTTGGAAAGGTGGCATGTTAATAAACTAGGGGACTATAGTGGAATTGCAGCGCAGTTCGAAGGGAACATTTAAAGTTTCAAGTGACATAAATCAGCTTTGTTGCGGCATACAGCAAAATTGTAAGCAGGAGTGTTTAAGGGAGGTATGGTATGAGAAAGGCAATAAGCAAAGTGCGTGCAAGAGCCAGCACACAACCCCCCCCACACCTCTCGCCCCCCTCCTTTGGCTAAAGAGCACAGTAATGTCTGGTGCAAAGGTGCACATCTGGGCCCAGAAGGCACCAAACTTGCGTTTACAGGATGATTCTAAAGAAATCAAATCTTTTTCTCACAAAATAGTAACAGCTATAGGCAGATGATGGAGGCTGTATGGGGTTGAGGAAGGAACCACTGCCGTTAGGAAGCTTCGGGGGAAAAAACCCTTTTCCAAATCTAGAATCTGACACTTACACCCCGACGTTTGGCTGCGGCTTGCGGTTGGTATGCGAAGGAGAGATACGCATGGTGGCGACTGACTGGGTGTGTGTGTGTGACCGACCAACTCCTTCCCTGGCTGCTTGTAGGGCTCCTGCACCCCAAACCCCGGCGGCGTCAGCAGCTCCAGCACTGCCGCCGGAATGTTTGCCGGTGTCATGGAGACGGTGGAGCCCTGGCTCAACAAGCGGCCGCGCGGTTGGCTGGCGGCAAGATTCCGAGGAGGAGGGCAGAGGCGGAGGGGAGGGCCGAGGGTTGGTGGAGGAGGAGGAAGCTTCGGACGACGACTAGAAGGCGGAGGCGGGCGGCCCGGGCCCCAGGCCCCTCCCAGGCTCTGAGTCTCCCAGGCTGCAGGCGGATGGATGGGGCTTCTTCAGGCGGTGGCGGTAGTAGCGAAGGTGGAGGCGGCAGCGGCGGCAGCGGCTGTAAGTGCAACCTCTATGTACCAACGCTTCCGTCCTATTCCTGCGTGGGCTCAGGGGCTCCTGAGGTGCCCAGGGTCCCCTTTCGCTCTCTCCCCTCCCCCACCATAGAGTCCTGTCCGGAAGACCCCTAACTTCCGGGGAGGGGCTGCGGGAGACGCGCCCGGCTTGCCTCCCAGCGGGGAGCTGCGCGGGCCGAGGAGGGCGCATGCGCAGCTCGTCCTCGCCGCCCTCCTCTCCTCCCAGCCCCGTCTCTGCTTTCGCGGGAGGCGGCGATGTTTCTCAGCGTAGGCGGAACGCTGGGGATCCTCTGCGGCGTAAGTTCGCCTAGGCCTGTTCGCGTGCGGCTTTCATCCCTTTTTCATTTTGGGTCTCTCACCCCCAAGAGGGTGGAGCTAAGCTATCCACCCCTCTGTGGCTCCGCCTCTCTTTCCCCGGTCTCGTTCCCGGCCGCCCGCCTCCCCTCCCCTCCCGTCCCCTCCCTCGCCCCCGTTCTTGTGGGAGAGCTGGGGCTGAGAGCAGCTCCTTGCTGTCACTGCAACCCGGGGGTGAGCAGGGTCCTGGGGGGGAGGGAAGAGGACATTATTGTGAGGGAACTCAGAGGATCTCTTGGGCCAAATGCCCCTTCCTGTGCTACGCTACCCCTTTGGATGGCCTTGCCCTGGCTTGTGGGAGAAAGATTTCTGGCCTGGAGGCCATCTCCGGCCCTCCCTTGCTTGTGTGACCTTGGGCAAGTCACGACCCTCTGTGGGGTACCCTGCTCCCGAAACATCCCCGAGGCTGAAACGCTCACTGCACAGAAGCAGCTAGGGCTCTTATGAGACTGGTTACAGTGGGTATGACTCGGAGTTGCCCGGGTCAGTTTTGGGTGGGAATAAGGCAACTGATTTATTGGGCCGTTTTTACTCTTTTACCGAGGGTTACAAATGCACGTGTCCACACCTGAATGTTTTCCTACCTTCCTGGGCTCTCTGACCTTCTTGGCCATCTTTGTAAAGGGAGGTTAACGAGCGTGCGGTTTCTGTCTGGTTGCTACTGAGGCTCTCTTTCCTTTGATCCAGATGGTGTGGTGGCGCGATTCTCCCAGTGCCTGGCTGAGTTTCGGACGTGGTTAAGAACCAACTGGTTGAGATTCAATGCAGACAAGACGGATGTGATGCTGGTAGGCAGGGGCACACTTGGAGATAAAGGGAGGGACGACTCTGAACTCCCTCAAGTAATAGACTGTTACATTACTCTTGTGTGTTCCAGTGTTTGATCAGCCAGTAATTTCCCAAATTTGGGTGAGATAAGAATAACGTGCCAACAGTGTATGAGTATGAGAAGATTAGGTTGTAATAATCTGATAAAATGGGCCCACTAGTTTTAACTTTATGAAATATTACTATGAAAACATCAACCAAAACTGTACCTAGAAGAACCAAATGCCTGTATGCTTTAGGGGAAGTTAGTAATTAAAAACAAAAATGTTGGTATGATATTTGGCAAACTGTGCATCTGGGGCCCCAAGTGGGCAGCCTGCATTCTGCCTAGTAAGCTCTCAGTTTCTCTAAAATGTCATTTTTAAGGAGGCTTAAGTATTTTGATATTTGAGTATTTAAACCAAATTAATAGACAGTCATGGATTTTATATTGTGAAGACATGATGTAAGCTGTCATTTTTAGGTAGGAACTACTAGGAAAGTGTTAAAAGGGATTTAGAGACCCTCGATATTGTTAAGTAGACGCTTTTCTTTTTCCTTGGGGTGGGGTGGGGGGACTGTGCAGCACTCATTTATTTCAAACAACCGGAGAGTCTAAACTGTTAAGTATTTTGTTGGTGTATTTTGAGAGACCTTATTGAGTTGCATAACAGATGTTTATATAGTGTAGGCATATATGATATTTGAATCTGGTGTTGGTACTAAATAAAGGTTAAGAATTTTAGGTATACATAAATTGTTTATGGGTTAGTTTAAGTTACCAGTTTAAGTAAAAATTGTGACCTTGAAATGTTTTTTTTTAACAGCAATATTATTACTCTGAGTGAAATCTCTGTGTATGATATCCTCTGTAAAATGATTTAATAACTTTAATGGAGGGCTCAGTAAATTGGTTAAGCATAATTGCCCATCAATACAGCAACATTTTGAGTCGCTTATTGTAGTAAAAATGATGCTAGTTTGCTTGAAAATGAGGAGGCCTTTAGGTGGGGAATGGGAGCTGAAGAGGCATTTATTCAGGCTTTGTATAGTGATTTTTTTTTTTTTTGGCTTTAGGACTAACTAATTAGCCACAAACCTCACATAAAATTGAAATTAACCACACTTAAAATTTTAACATTAAACCTCTTACTACACGATTCTAACAAAATAGAATTTTCAATCACATTAATAAATGTTTTTCATATTATTAAAAATAGTAACTTTTTAATAGGTCTTAGGTAATGGTAAATTTTCTCTTGTCTTTAGTTCTGTCTCTGGAGAAAGACTGGGCTTTCCACTCCCGTAAAGATGTACAGTCTCAGAAACCCCACAGGGGCAGGTCTACTCTGCCCTATAGGCTCGCTGTGAGTCGGATCGACTTGATGGCAGTGACTTTGGTTAGCTCTGGTATGCCCTGTTCCAGCTTTCCTAGTTTTAGATAGGCTTCAAGGATGGATAGATGGATGGATTTTGTTAAACCCAGTATAAATATTGATTGGTTGTATTTGAATATAAACAAAGGTGTTATCTGTTGAATTAGCCCTAAATGCTAATTAGGGGTAATGGATGGAAACGATGACATGGGTTCTGGTATAATAAAAAACATTTTCCAGACATTGAAGGTTTTTTGAGAGAAGCATCCTCTTTATGAGGTAATTACTGCTGTTTTTTAAGCATAGGCTAAAAATTTTAGCTTTGTAGTACGGAAGCATGATGAGAGGTTTCTACCTCAAGAGTTAGAGAATTAAAAAATAAATAAAAAAAGAGAGAATTGACTAAATATTTTTAAGGTCCCAATCAAAATTAAGATTTTGTGACTAATCTACCTATCTATTAATATTTTTTACACATTTTATTAACCAACAGTTATAGAGGTTAACCAACAGTTTTGAGAAAAAAATTGATTTTCTAGGCAATTCCTGAGATTTTAAAAGATCTCACTATAATAAAATGTAATGGGTAACTGATCATACAGTATTACAGCTGTTTCTCTTTACTTTTGGAATAACTAAACAAAACAGTCACTGAACTCATATTTCCAAAAAGGGAGGAAAGTACAGAGGGAACTTCCCCCCTCAGGTTGGGCGCTTTGAACAGGTTTTCTTCTGCTCCTTCATTTATGGATCTAGGTTACATAATTGCCTGCCCTTGTCTAGGCAGCCCCCTCTAGAGGAGAAATGTTTTCTTTAACTTCTGTGAACCCACTTCAGGGGGAGGAGGAGGAAGAAGAAACAGCCTGTGTTTTTTATGCCACAATAAAAGTTGTCAGCCACACAAAATATATATAAATAAAGTTACATCACAGCATTATATTAGTAAACTCAAGTCATTTACCAATAAGATATATGCCCATTCCTATATGCCCTGGCAAAATATCAGACTTCAATTTCCTGACTATTTTAGAATTCATTTGTAGATTAAGGAAACGGCTGTGATCTCAACTCTATCACAATTTTTAAAATGCTTTAATTGAGGAATCAAAACAAGCAAATTAATTATTTTTCCTGGTATTTTGACAACACCTTTAAATGGTCTTTTTGGTGCCCAGTTAAAGTCCCTATATCAACTTTCAGCTTTTCATGGAAAATCCTCCCTTATTCCCACGGTATAAAGCCTGAGTTTCTACCTCTAGGCCTCTTATTCTTTTGATCTTTTCCCACCTCAGGTCCATGTGCATCCATTGTTCTTTCCTTCAGTTATTTCCATCAATTGTATAAATGTGAAAACTACTTGGAAAGGAACTGACATTTTAAAAAGTCTTTTATTTCAAGTCCAAATGACTGACGTAATCCTAGTCAACAGGGTCACTCTCAGAAACTATATACCTATGCTGAAATTTTAATTTTCCCCAGGAAACTTGAAAAACATTTCTAGATCAATATTCTAAACAATAAAGTGAAAACTGTACAGTGCAGTTAATGGTAAAAAATTGTTTGTAGTCTGGGAACCCTAAAAGTTTTCCTTTCTCTTCTTTCCCTTGCTTTTCTTTCAGTAGAAAATGTGCATCAGATGTTTATATTTAATTGGTTTACAGACTGTCTGTGGACTCTTTTCCTGTCAAATTACCAGGTAATGTCCTTTCACTTAGCAGCTACTTCATATACCTGTAAATGCAGTTTATGCGTACACAAATTATTATTGGACATATAGAATTTCAAGTTATTGTTGAATCTTTGGATATTGGGAATTGCTTGACAGAGGCTCGCATCTTAAGGGAATGCACACAATTGAAGAAAACAGCCTCCCTTGCATTGCGTTCTATTAACCTTAAGGAGATTGTATATGAATATATATAGCATTGGCACTACCTCCTTTGGAGAGGATGATTAATTCTTGTATTTGGTGATTTTGATAGCCATTTTTGAAAAGCTTCTTGAGATAAGAACTTTTAAAACTTTTGGTTTAGTACAATGTTAGTGCATGTTTTAATACCACTTTCGCATTCGCCAGTATTTGCCCTAATAGTGGAAATGAAACATATTTGTTATGTTGCAATAATTGGCAGTGGCAATATCAAAATTGGCATCAAGGCTAACTGGCATCTGTAGGCTACTACATTAAAATCAACTTTGAAATTTTAGACATTACAAATCACAGGCTCTCCCTTATGCAGCTGAGTTGAGTGGGGATTATTTATATCAATCAAGGAATAGCTTTTCAGTATTTTACTTATTGTTTGGTTTTTCCACTCTGGCTAGTGCAAATTCAACTAGTGTTGCTCCTTGGCATTTCAGAAAGAGTGAGGAAACAGGCAAGTGAGATATGGCAGATCACGGTTTTAGCATGCCTCTTTGCTTCCACCTCTCTTAAGAGCTAGGGCTGTGCTGGCTTATATTTCCTGCCGGTAAACAACAACCAAGAGAAAGAAGTTATGTGTAGTTGTTAAAGGATGATTGCTTTCAAAGCACAGTGCTTGCCGCTGTTACCTCACAGCATCATCCGTTTTTCTGCAACAGCTCTTCAAAAACGACTCCCACATTAAATGGAACCTTCTCCCGGCCTTCCCACCCCCCTGTCCCCCCCCACCCCCCCAGTGTAAAAAGCTCCTGCCCTTGACTTCCATGCTTTAGACCCCTTGCCCCAAGTTAAAAACCCCTGGTCTGTGGAGGCAGCAGCCCTACGCGGAGATGCTTACCTCCCCCGCGCCCCCCCCAACACCCACCTTGACTCCGCCCTCTCCGCGCTCCTCCCAGACAGGGCTGTCCACGGGGGCGCGCGCGCCCCTGTTTTCGCGTGCGCGCTATCCAGTCTTCTCCCTCCAGTCCGGCCCAGCTGGCGCGCCACGAGGGGGCGGAGTGGGGTGTGGTGGGCGCGCTCGGGCGGCTCCAGCGCGTTCCCGCCGAGACAGCCGCGGCTCGAGCGGCTCTGGCGACCGCAGGAGCCTCGAGTCCCGTTGCCGAGTCCCACATCCGGGTTCTGGCCGTGACCCAGCTGCGGACGCAGCGGAGATGTGACCCGTCAGTACAGCAAATATGGCGGAGGTAAGGGAGCGAGCTCCCCCTCCCTGTCCCAGAGCGGGGGCCCCTGGGCACTGGCCGGGGAGGAGTGGAGTGGGCCTGGCTTGGAGAGGCCCAGCCCTGCCGGCGCCACTGCCCACCTGTTGTCCAGAACAGGCCGCGCTGAGGCTGGCGCTTTCCTGGGAACTTAGTTGGGATGGGTCAGGGGACGGAGGGAGCCAAATCGCAGTTGGACTTTGAGGGCACTTTGAAGGGTCGGGTGCTGCGTAGTTGGTGCGTGCTGAAGGGGGGTCGGGGTCGGGGGTCGGGGGATGTGCCCAGACCCGGGAGCTGGTGGCGCAGCTAGCCGGTCGGTGTGCGAGGCCAGGAGGAGCTGGTGCTTCCTCTTGCGAAGTTTCTTCCCTCCTTAACGGAGATGCTGTTGCGCCCTTCCGCGTCACCCCCACACGGGTCCTGCTGGCATTCTGTTTGCTGGTGGAGGAAACGTTGGGCAGACCGGCCTTGAATATTTTCATCTAATTTTTCTGGAGAGTGTGCGGATAATTAATCCGACCCCTCCGTCGCAATCCAGCCCTCCAGGCCCGCGGGGGTGGGGGTGGGGGGGAGTTGGTCTTCCGCATTTGTCCTAAGAGTTTCTTATTCACCCAGGGCAGACAGACCTCTTTCTCTACAGCCCAGGAAAGTTGTTTCCCATCTTTTCTCCCCCTTTTCTTCGTTTTTCAGGCCTACCCCCCATCTCCTAGACCACAGCTAACTATAATCTTTTTTAAAATCACCCTCTGGGAAGTTTATTTGTTTTCTGCTCTTCAGAGTTTCCTTCTTTGAAGGTAGATAATTTTACCTTTGGGGGCTTGAAATTGGTGGTCAACCCACTACTCATGACTAATTTGAGTTTAGGACATGCCACTGGGTGCTTAAAATTTTGCTTCTAATTTAAACCTTTAAATACATGAATTTTCGTCATACTCTGAAGGATTTAGTTATTTTTCACCCCCAGGCATTCAGGGAGTAATATATCGGGACTTTCTGTCCCTTTTGAGATAAGCCACACTAAATGAATGTTCATTAACAAGGCATTTCTATTGTTGGAATTACTTTTTCCTGGTCTTGGAGGCACCCAGGGACTGATTTGGGAAGTAGTAATTTTATTTACCATCTATCCCTTGATTTTTATCATTTGCTATTTGCTAAATGAAGACAAGTATTTTCATCAGTACTATAATAGTACCATTTTAAACCTTGGACTATTGATTCAAATTCAGATTACGAGTTATTTATTTATTTTTTTTTAATTTGAGGCCTTTTTCCTTCTGTTGAATGCAGGGCCCAAAGATGAGCTTTTCTGGCACGTTCGTCCTTGCAGTCTGAGGCTGCAGCACCTTCTGCTGGCCTTCCAGAAATTGGCTTTATTATGCCCTAGGATATTTGCTGTTAAAGGACGAAGAGGTTTTACCACAGAACTGTTTACTGCCCATCTTCTTTTTAAAAACATGTAATATTTCTGATTAACAATTAAAATATAGATCCTAGATTTTTCATTTCATTTGCTTTTTTATATTTAAATAATTGCTTTCAAGGCATAGAAGTTGGAAAAAACTACATTTCTATTTCAGTTCACTATGAATGGGTTTATTTTGCTTGTTGAAAGTCAATTAGTACTATTGAAGTAATATTGCATATTTCTATTTCATTACTTGGAGAATATAACTTGTAATTTAGGAACACATGGATGGTTCAATTTTGAGAAGAAATAATCCCAATTTTACATCACTGTATTTATTTAATGACCCGATAGCTTTGTAGAACTCATTTTTTAGATTGTTCAAATATTATCTCTAAATTTGGAGGAGAGTGGAGGAACTTTTAAATCTATAGCCTACACCCCCATTATTATTATTATTTAATAATAATTGAAGGAAGAGGTGAAAACTAAAACTAAACTAATTTTCCAGGTCTTAATATTTTTTATTAAAATGATTTGAGACCCCCATCTCACACCCATTGCTGTCTAGCCAATTCTAAAGCATAGTAACCTATAAGTCAGAGTAGAACTTCGCTTAGGGTTTCCAAGGCTATCCATTTTTATGGCCGGGAACTGCCACTTCTTTTGCCCAGCAGAGTGGTTGGGTTCGAAAAGTCTCTCTCTTCTGTTAATCGCATGATGTTTAACCATGTGCTACCACAGATCCTCATTTGAGAACAGTGGTTTTAAAAAAGTAGGTGAATGCGTGCTTTTGAGAGTTTTTTCGTGTGATCTTTCAGTGGATTCATTCTTCTTGCCAGTGTACATTGGCATGTGGTAAAACAAATGCTGAACTTTGCTTTTAGTCAAGTACTGGAGATTGAAGCTAACTTGTGAAGTAAAAAATAGTATATGCAAAGCACTTGTACGTTTATTTGATAACAGAGGAAAACAGATTATTGAAGAATGTCTCCAGAGAAAAATACAGGTATTATGCTTCTGTGGTTTTTGTTGTTTTTCCTCCATAGGATAATGACCCTACCTTATTTAGTCAGATACATTGTAGTGGTTTCAGATGTGAATAGAATGTGTATTTTCATACTTTTCTGTTGTCATTGAAAATATAATAGGAAATATGTATTAAATGGATCATAAGCCATGGTAGCATTAAAAACAAACACAGTATGCTTAAAAGAAATGGCATGTCCTCTTTTTAATTCATTGTTTTTGGTAACCATTCTCATTGCTTCTTATCCCCTAAAATGATTTACCAACCTTCCAAAAGCCATTCTTAGTCTCACTTAAAGGAAGGGAATTTACAGAGTTGGCGAGGTTTTACAAAGGCAATGGGAAGAGAGTAAGAGGAAGAAATAGTGAACCCTTTGGGTTTTATAAGGAATGTTGTGTAGGTACTTTTGGGAGTTAACAATTTGTCTTTTAAATCACAGTTTGTAAACACATCAGGGACTTCTCAAGGGGGGGGGCGAGAAGGAGGAATTTAATAGACTTGCTTCTTTCTATTACAATAATATTTCTGAGCATAGTACATAATTTACTCAGTATCTCATGTATCCATTCATTTGTCTTGGAGTGTTTCCTTAGCATTTCTTGAGTGTATTTGGATTTAGTTTTTTTAAGGAAATGGTGATCAACTATTTTTTGAAGTGTTAAATTTCATTCTTGCAAACTGCAATAAATTTAGGCATTAATTCTTTAGATTGCTTATGAAATTTATTTTAGCTTTTATACTTAATTGCTATTAAGGTTTTATCCAAAGTAATTAAGAATAATAATGTGTGAGAGTCCTTAAAAAAAATTAGTGGGAATAAGAAAGAATCCAAAAATTGATAAGGCAAAAAACAATTAGTGGAGGAATTATAGAAGTGATTTGCTATGACTATGGTAAGACTAATCAGTTAAACAACTAATCCCAGAAATAAAACTTTGATTTTCAAACTTATTTTTATCTTTCATGTAAGGAATCAATTGTATAGAAATATCTTGCTTGAAATTGAGAATGAGTCCTTATATGAGGAGATTGCAAAATATTCATGGAAAATTTGAATCCAAGGGTAATGTCATTTTCCCATGAACTTTTTTAATTGCCCCCTCCCCCATATTTCAGAAATGTGTAAATGGTTCCAAAGTTCATTGCAGTAATTATTAATAAAAGCGTTCAATTAACCAGTCCTTGCTCAATCAGCTTTATTTATGATTTTAGAATGATCATATGCAATGTACTAATGTGCTTTACACAATCGATGTGTGTATGGATTGGGATAACAGTTGTATGAGCCCCTAATAAAATGTTATAAAAAAAAAAAGAATGATCATATGTTTCTGTAAATATAAAATTTATAAAGGAGCATCTCCAAATAACTGTTCATGTTGAGGACTTTTTCTTACAGTCCTTTGTAGCCAGTCATAGTAAAGTGTTTAGCTGTGCAAAGAAGTTAGACTGAATGTGAAGGAATCTAAATATCATCAGAGACGAAATGAAACTAAATGGAGAGCTTATGCCATTTGCTTTGGGTCATGTAATTAGTTTGTAGCACAGTGAAGACTAGAATCCTGGACTTCTGAATTTCCTATGTTTCGTTATACCATTTTATTCTTTAAAATAATTACTACTTTAGTAAACTTGCGAATTTTAACTCCAAAAAGTTCTTAACCTTTTTTTTTTTTAATTTTAATTTTTATACTCCCAGAATGCCTGAGACTGAGGTGGTGGGCCCTTGGCATAGTACTCCTGTCTCCCTTCACCCAACTCCTTGTGGCATCTCTCTCCATTATAGTATACATAACTTAAATGGTAGTACCATATAAAGAAAAGGATGTAGAATTAGTTTGAGGAGAAAAATACTTTTGAAAATGTCTTGAGTAAAAAAGTACCTAATGATTTCTTTAATGTTTATAACACTTTTTAAAAAATCAGATATTCTAGCTAATATTTTACTCATTGCTAATTTATAGTTTTCTTTTCTACGGGACATTTCTCACTGTATTCCAGAAAAAATTGTAAAATTGAAACGTTTGAACCTATCTGAAGCATTGAATGTTTATCTGCAATGACTTACCAAAATGAAACATTTGAATATGTCTGAAGCTGGGTGAATGTTTGCAATAACAGCTAAATCCTAAATATATGGATAAGGATGATATATAAATGGTAGTAGTTTACCATTTACACATACACTCTTTGTGTATGTGTGATTGTTTAGTGTGATACTTTCCATCTGACATGAAACATTTTTAATTAAGTATGCTCGAATCAATTAACCACTCCTTAGATGTGGCAGTCGGCTTCCATAAAGGTTACAGTCTTAGAAACCCTTTGCAGTAGTTCTACTGTTTTATGGGAGTCATGAGTTGGAATCAACTTGGTGGCGATAGATTTTTGTTTTGTTTTTAGCAGAAAATGAATTGTATTTTCAAAATTAAAGATTTTTATTAAAATGATATAAACATTTCTTAGAAATCCAAAAAGAAGAAAATGAAAATGCTTCGTAATTCAACAAGAATAACCCCTAGTGACTTTCATTTTAAAAAGAGTGGTGATACATGCTAACAAGTGGTTTAAAAATCCCAACAGTACAGAAAGGAATAACACGACAAAGCTTTCTCTCCCTGACTTTCTTACATTTGAACATTTTAAACAGATTTGTGTGTGCTTTCGGAAAACAAATTCCAGCTCAATTTCTCCATGTGTATTTCTTTTCTCTTTGTTTTTACTTCTAGTATGTCTTCAGTGTTTTTTTTTTCTCTAGCAACACTTTTTTTAAATGGATGCATAGTGTTCCCATGCTTGGAAGAACTAGTTGATTTCAAAGTAGTCAAAATGGTGACATCCCCTGCCCAACTTTTTACTATGATCAACATTGTGGTCCAATATTGTGCTAATAAATGTTTTTAAAATGTTTGCTGTTGATGTACTTTTCCAGGTATATTAGTAGTACAGATTCATGTTGTCAAAACAAGCTCGCAAATTGTTAAATCAACCCTACCAGTAATGTCTTCTAAATATATTTTCATCCCAGATTTTAGATCTTAGTTACTGCATATATTTTATGTATAATGTTTGAGCTTTTACTAAGAGCAGGTATTAGAATAAATGAGTATTGGATGAGCTATAGTTTAGTTGTAGTTTATTTTCTTTTTTTCCTCCACCCAGTTTGATTAATAATTAATGATAGTTATTGCAGGTTTTCTTGTCCTGGAGGATATTGTTAGAGGTGCCAGTTCCTAAAGAGACAAAAACAGGCCTAATAGATGGCAAGTGATAGTCACATTTTAAATGTGCTTTGAACATATGAAAACCATGTTTTTAAAAACAGAAAAGAAGGAAAGGGTAAGCTAGAAGAAAGAACAAGGTGAAGAAAGTTTTTACATAGTTGTTTCTCCAGGAGATAGAAAGGGAGCACCAAGGAGTCAGAGACTGTAGATTCCAGTCCTATCTTTACCACCGAACTCAGAACCTTGGTCAGCTCACTTTATCTCACTGTACTTGCTATTCTTGCATATTTAAAAATGTCTAGAACAGTTAAGTTTGAAAATGTAAGTTGGTTCTCATATTGTCTTTCATACTTAAAAAAAAAAAAAAAGCTTTACCCTGCATTGAAACCTTACCTATATTATGATAGTAATAAAACTAACATTTTATCTTGAAAGATCGTTTTATTAGCTAGAAAAAGTACTGTTTTAAATGTAGACTGTTTTCAAAGGTCAGATTTCCCAATTTAGTCTTTGATTAATTGGGGATAAGTAACTTGAGATTCCCTTACCATTAGAAATTGTACATAAATGCCTTTCTTCCCCCTGTTCTAATTTAAATATAACTCTGACTGCTGTGGAATTAATGCCATTTCATGGGGACCCTATGCCACCAGCCAAATCCTTCATGGTCCTTGGAACATTCCATTGTGTCTGACATAATGTGTGATCCATTAACATGCTAGATCGTCTACTTTGTGCTATTTAGACTTAAAAATGCTACCAGTCTTCTAAATATTTGATACTTTAATGAATGGAAAGTACTAATGGCCTTTTCCAGAACTGTGGGGTTGTTAACATGTACCAGAAAGTAATAACTTTGGCAGTGCTGTTAATGTTGTATACAAACTACATAGACTCTGCTCATAATTCGGTATCTCTGCTGTTGGCAATATGCAACATTGGTGAAAAATATATTTTGAGTAACATTTTTATATACCAGAAAATTGCTTTTGTCAGAAACTTGTAGAATAATACTGAAATGTTCAAAAAGAAATACTCAAAGAAACATATTTAAAGATTAAAAAAATGTGTGTACATAAGGCATGCAAATGTGTTTTAGAAATTTACTAAAAAATATTCTGTATGGATTGTAATAAGAGCTGTAAGAGCCCCCAGTAAAATGATTTTTTTTAAAAAGACGATAGAAAATGAACCTAAGTCTAGGTAGTCATTAGCTTGGTGTGGCCTTGCACAGAGTTTGGGCATACACTTGGAAAAAAAGTATAACTGCTAGAAATACAAGTGTATTTATACCTTAAAATATTGACTTATGGTGTAATAATTTGTTATGCTTAAATCCATTTTGAGTCAGAAATGTGTAGCTCTGTTCAAAAGATGTTATGCAAGCTAGAAACCATGTCACTGTATGCTTCAGCATTCCAGTAGAGGCACTGAGTTGCAAAGTAGCAGTACTATGTTAGCAGTTTTCGAAGAAGAAAACTTAAAAATGACAGTAGTGTGACAATGGAAATACCTAGTACTGGGTGTTGTGAGGTTCTTACTGTAATAGCGTACTGTGGAGACAATCATAAAACCGAGTTTTAACACTTTATCAAAATTTATTTATCATATATACCTAGCTCTCTGTTTCTGTAAAGAGTTGCAATACAGTCTGGAAACTCACAAGGGCAGTCCTACCTTGTACGCTAAAGGGTTGCTGTGAGTGGGCATTGAATTTATGGCAGTGAGTTTAGAATTTTGGGTTTGAAAAATGGCGCATTTTCCCCATTTTTTATTTTGCCTCTCTGCTCTAGTACTTAACTGAAAGAAAAATACTACAATATCTCTTTGCTAGTACTTCACAAAATAGATAGGTCTGAAAGATTAGGCAAGACTAAATACATAATAAAGTTTATGTCATTTGAAACATCTTTTAAATGTTTGCCAGTGAATTTGCCTTGTAGTGGTTTGTAAATCACTTGTTTATGATTTTTATCAAATTAATTTAAATAAAACAAACTAAACTGGTGGTTATGTGGCTAAAATAAGTTACTGCCCATTTTATCTTTGAGTTTTCTAAGTGCCAATGATTAAATTTATGATGGTTAGAATAAATAGTACAGTATAAGGAAATTAAAATTGCTAGTCTGCGATCTTCCATCAAATGACCTAACCTTTCTAGACTTGACTTAGAAGAGTTAATTCTGTGATGATAGTAGCTTGTTTAACAGTGCTGTTTGGTGCATAAATATTTAATTTTCCCCTTTGCTTTCTTTTCAACCTCATTTTTAATTAAAAGTATATCTTGAATTTGGTTTTCCCTCATATCACAAAATCAGCTTGACAGCAGACTTGTACATAGTTTTTCCTGTATTGATAGGAGATAACTCATTACAGTTAATTCAAAGAGTAAAGTCATCCCAAACTATTTTTTGATATTCATATTTAGCTTTAAAGTCTGTATAAACACCATATAAGTATCTTTGTTTCCAGATTCAGGAATGATTTTTATTTTATTGTTGTAAAAATCATGTAAAAGGTTCTTTGCCTATTTAATGTTTTCATTTCTATACTGTGATGACTTCAGTTAACCATATTATGTAACCATGAACAATATTCTTTGCCACATTTTCCATCACCATAAGTAGAAATTAAGTACTTCCTAAACAGTGAACTCCCTCCTCCAACCCCCCACCCCCCAGGTCCCCCTCTGATACAGGAGTGCTTTTTAATTGTCTATATGCTTACTTGTGATGTCAGGGAGAAGATTACATAGGAAATTTTATTTTGTCTTAGATAATTCAGACATTTAACATACTACCATTGTATTTAGTGTTATATATTACTTATCAAATCAATCTCTTGAATAATTATAAAGATTTAGTATACAAAAATGGTAATATTTCCTCTTTCCTTCCCTTCAGCCATCTGTTGAGTCTTCAAGTCCAGGTAAGTATTTTCTGTATTTTATTATCTCTACTAGATAACATTTGTCCTGTTAGTTGTATAAAAGCTGGAGGAAGCTAGACTATCATCTGACTTGCTTTTCTTCTGAATGCTTCTGTGGGGAAAAATGTGAAGCTATTTTTATTTTTTTTTTGACATATCCTGCCTCTGGTCTGTATACCTCTTTGCTTTCATCTCTCTACCCTTTCCCAAAGAATTATTTTTTCTTTAATTTAAAGCTCTAAGGAATTCAAACCTTGTAACTTTTCAATGCTCTTTGAATTTGGGCTACAAATATACCTAAGTCTGAAGAGGCAAGATCAGGACTGTCGGATGCATAGACTGAAACTTCCCGTTGAAATTCTTATGGAACAGTCTTTGCTACCCTTGAAGAATGAACAGATGCATGGTTAGGGAAAAAATTCCTTAGTACAACTTTGTTGACCTTTTTTCACCAATACAGATTTCATTTTCCTTAAAACTTCATAATAAGCCCAACTCCTGTGGTCACATTGTGTCCTTGGAAAATCTATAAAGATTACTCCTGTGGAATTCATATAGTCTATAAACTTCTGTATTGGCTCACCTGATTGCCTCAGAAACCACCGTTTTGACTGAACACTTTTGTTGTTATATTAAAGGCACTCTAACAGTCCTTTTTTTTTTTTTAATCATTTTATTAGAGGCTCCCACAACGCTTATCATAGTCCATACATACATCGATTGTGCAAAGCGCATTTGTACATTCATTGCCCTCATCTTTCTCAAAACATTTCCTCTCCACTTAAGCCCCCGGCATTAGGTCCTCATTTTTCCCCTCCCCGCCCCCCCCTCCCTCATGAGCCCTTGATAATTTATAAATTATTATTTTATCATACCTTGCCCTGTCCGACGTCTCCCTTCACCCACTTTTCTGTTGTCCGTCCCCCAGGGAGGAGGTCACATATAGTTCCTTGTAATCGGTTCCACCTTTCCAAACCACTCCCTCTACCCTCCCAGTATCCCCACTCATACCACTGGCCCTGAAGGGATCATCCGCCCTGGATTCCCAGTATTTCCAGTTCCTATCTGTACGAGGGTACATCCTCTGGTCTAGCCAGACTTGCAAGGTAGAATTCGTATCATGATACTGGGGGCGGGGAGGAAGCATTTAGGAACTAGAAGAAAGTTGTATTTTTCATTGTTGCTACATCGCACCCTGACTGGCTTGTCTCCTCCTCGAGACCCCTCAGCAAGGGGTTTGGGTCTCCACTCCGCACTCCCCCCATCATTCACTATGGTAAGATTTTTTTCTTCTAATGATGCCTTATACCCGATCCCTTCTACTCCTCGTGATCGCACAGGCTGGTGTGCTTCTTCCATGTGGGCTTTGTTGCTTCTGAGCTTGATGACCGCTTTTTTACCTTCAAGCCTTTAAGACCCCAGACTCTACACTTTTTGATAGCCGGGCACCATCAGCTTTCTTCACCACATTTGTTTATGCACCCATTTGTCTTCAGTGATCCCTTCGACACCTTGTGATCACACAGGCTGATATCTTTTTCCATGTGAGCTTTGTTGCTTCTGAGCTAGATGGCCTCTTGTTTACCTTCAAGCTTTTAAGACCCCAGACGCTATAGCTTTTGATAGCTATTGATAGCCGGCACCGTCAGCTTTCTTTACCACATTTACTTATTCACCCACTTTGTCTTCAGCGGTTGTGTCAGGAAGGTGAGCATCATAGAATGCCAATTTAATAGAAGAAAGTATTGCATTGAGGGAGTCCTTGACTGGAGGCCCAATGTCCTTCCTCTAACAGTCCTTAAAGCAAAAGTTTTACTGAGAAAACTTGTCGGGCCATCCACTGATCACAGAGATACATTTAAATACATTTTGTTTTGAGAATTTGTGCATGGATAAACTGAACTCTAGTAGCAATACTTTTTGGCTTAGCCCTATTGTGCTGCTTTAAACTTAAGTCCAGGTTTGCCAGTAGCCAAATGTGTGCCAATTTTACAGGGTTTCTATGAGGAGACTTTAAAAATTGCATTGGAATTGCAATGGGAAAAAAATGGATTATCAAAAATAAATAAATAAAATATATTGCACTATCTACAAAACTTCATTTTCCACTAAATTTTTAAAGCTGCAATGTATGTGTGAATGTGAGTGTATGTTTATGTATACATATTATTGTTAGATGCTGTAAATTAATTGCCGGCTCCTAGTGACCTAGGTTTATCAGAGCTAAACACAGCCTTGACCCATTCCATGCCATCTTTAAAACGAGTTGCTATGCTTGAGCTCATTGTTTCTAGCCACTGTGTCAAGCTGTGTCATTGAAGGTCCCTTTTTATCATACCCTCTACACAATATGCATATTATATACAGATAAAAAACGCATGTGATAAAAAACATGTGTGTGGCAGTCTATAAAACTTGATCCTATTTAGTATAATATTCTCCAATCAGAAGTCTAAATACTGATAATGCAAATTAATTTGAGAGCAATTCTATTTTTCTTTGGCTATGTATTTCACATGTCTGTATTCTCAGGGCCTATAGCTCATACTCATGCATTGATGTATCCATTATTATTCAAATGGTTAAATATTGTGATCCCCCCCGCACACAGGATTGTTCTAATTTAATATCTTTATCCTTCATAACTTTGTTTCATTATTAAAGATTAGGGCACAGTTTTTAAAGCTGTTAACATTCCTCCTTGCTGATATGGCAGTCACAGCTTAATATGTAAGGGTGGGGAAGAGCAAAAATTAATCCCCTGGGAAGAGATTTTGTGAGAGGCAATGAATAAGAGGAGACTTTAAAAAGCAATAAATAATACATGTTTTACTCATTCCCTGGCTCAATTTCTTTTTATCCAGCACAGATAAAGCTTATACATTAGTATTAATAAGTTATGCTTAATTTGGTTTACCAAACTTTTAATATATTCTTTACCAGGAGGTTCAGCAGCATCAGATGACCATGAATTTGATCCATCAGCTGACATGCTGGTTCATGATTTTGATGATGAACGAACATTAGAAGAGGAAGAAATGATGGAAGGAGAAACAAACTTCAATTCTGAAATAGAGGATCTTGCAAGGGTAAATAACATTAAGAGCTAGGAGGCAAACAGGTTATGTAGCTTTTTTATGGAGAAGGAACTGTTTGAAATTTAGATTTTGTACTTTGGTGGGAGCTTTTGGGGGGTGGCTGAAAAAAATTGAGGTTATATATGGATGAGGTATTTAAAGCTTTAAATGAGGAATTTTTAAAAAAGTAATGTGAAGAAGGGAATTTCATATAATGAATTGGGTAAAACATCTGAATTAAAATTTCCTTTCATACCTTCTGTTCTTTCCCAAATTACACCTTTTATTTAATCCCCCTCCAAGCAAAACATTTGAGAATACTCTTGATGTTCTCTGTCCCTTTTGTAAAAAACACTCGTGATTTCCATTGTGGCATTGCTTATTTATCTCAGTGGTAATTCAGTACAATTTGTAATCCTTTCTTTATCTTGACTTACAGAGTACCCAGTGCCTAGTTTTCCCTACTTCTTTTGGGCCCTAGGCATTATATTTTGCAGATTTTCTTTCTTTACTTGGAGTTTTAATTTTGGGATTTTCTAGTCCATGTTTTGGAACATCATCTTCGCCTGGCTTTTGGTAGAACGCTGTTCCTGCATATGTAGTATGAATGTAGTTGCATCAGAATCATTGGTGAACTTAAGATGTGCAGGCAGATTCCCAGACATACTGAATCAGAATCTCTAGAAATGAGGCTCAGATTACGTCTTCATTAAGAGAGCTTGAATCCTACACAACCCTTTTGAAAATTGCCAAGTTAGGCGATACCTATTCTAAGGCTCAGTGTTCCTGAGTCACTGCATGTTTCTAGCATTAGCTTCTTCCTTCTCTCAGATTTTCCTTATCCAACTACTGCTTGACATCTCAATCAAACCCAGTGCCACTGAGCTGATTTTGACTCATGGGCAAACCCAACAAGGCGCTGAGGTTATAAATCTTTATGGAAGCAGAGTTCCTCATCTTTGACATGCAGAGACCTCTCCAATTTTTTGTGCCCAGACTGAACTATTGCTTGTTCTCCTTCTGTTCCTTTTCTTGTCTTCTTCGTGTGTGTGTGTGTGTGTGTGTGTGTGTGTGTGTGTGTGCGCGTGCTTGAGCTTATCATTCACCCTTAAGTCAGAAACCAGGATGTCTTTGCCTTCCATTCTTAGTACTCAGTTCTTTAATACACTGTTTGTTTCTTTTCTTTTTTTAATCATTTTATTAGGGGCTCATACGACTCTTATCACAATCCATACATACATCAGTTGTGTAATGCACATTGTACATGCCCTCGTCATGCCCCCGGCATCAGTTACGCATTTTTTCCCCTCCCTCCCCGCTTCCCCCTCCCTCATGAGCCCTTGATAATTTATAAATTATTATTTTGTCCTATCTTGCCCTATCCAACGTCTCCCTTCACCCACTTTTCTGTTGTCCGTCCCCCAGGGAGGGAGGTCACATACAGTTCCTTGTAATCGGTTCCCTCTTTCCAACCCACTCTCCCTCTGCCCTCCCAGTATCGCCACTCACACCGCTGGTCCTGTAGGGATCATCCTCCCTGGGTTCCCTGTATTTCCAGTTCCTATCTGTACCAGTGTACATCCTCTGGTCTAGCCAGACTTGCAAGGTAAAATTCGTATCATGATAGTGGGGGCAGGGAGGGAGCATTTAGGAACCAGAGGAAAGTTGTATTTTTCATCATTGCTATATCGCACCCTGTCTGGCTCATCTCCCCGCAACCCCTCTGCAAGGGGATCTCAAGTGGCTTACAAATGGGCTTTGGGTCTCTACTCCGTACTCCCCCCCCCTCATTCACTATGGTAAGATTTTTAATACACTGGTTGTTTCTATCCACAAATAGATCTCTTACTTTCATGCCATCTCTGCTGCCATTACTCCAGTCCACAATCATTTGTAAACTATTGTAACGTCCTATTTCCTGTTTTGCCACTCCCCCACAACATATTTTTTATCTAGCAACCATGGTGATCCTTTGATAATACAAAGCTAGTGTATAGTTTGTCAGTCTCTGACTTCAAACGCTCTAGTAATTTTCCTATGTTTGAAGGAAATTCAGACTCAATGTGGAGAGCCAAGCTACCTGTTTGATGTGGCTCCTGATAGTTTGCTGCACTATCCCTACCATTCTATACTTGGAGCATGCTACATGCATTTATTCTTAGATAAGAAAATTTCTTGTTATCTTTTTAGCTCATTCCCCTCTCTGGTATATGCTTTCTGAGGTTAATTTCTTATCCTTTTGAATCTGGATTTACTATTGCCTCTTCAGAATGGCCTTTCCTGTACTCTCAGGTTTAATTTATTGTCTTTTTTCTCCATTACAGTGTAAGCCCCATGAAAAGAGAGACCATGCCTGTTTTTATTAAATAGTATTTCATGAGTCTAACAAGAATGATCACTCAAAAGTATTAGTGTGAGAACAAATGAATGAGTCTGGCATACGAGGGGATACTCACAAACAAGGAATTTCTTTTTCAGTTGTGTATTTAAATTTTTTTACAAAACAACCCTATATAACCTTTGAAGTACTCTCCACTACTCTTAATACATTTGTCAAATCTGCGATTCCATTCTTGGAAACATTTTTCAAACGCATCTGTTTGTTTGGCTGACAGCACCTCACTGGTTTTTTCCTTCATCTCTTCTACGTTGTCAAATCGCTGTCCTTTCATGTCCCTCTTCATTCATGGAAATGGAGAAGTCGCACAGAGCAAGATCAGGTGAGTCAGGTGCATGGGACAAGAGAGGCATGCTGTTTTTTGCCCTAATCTGGCACACTGAGAAGGCTGAACAAACAGGTGCATTCTTGTGGTGGCAAATTCAGTCTCCTGTCTGTCACAAATCAGGCCTTTTTTTGTCTCACACTGTTTACGCAATCTTTTCAGAACCTCTAAATAGAAAGCTTGATTAACAGTCTGAGCTGGTGGAATGAACTCCAAATCCTCACATCCAAAAAAAAAACAAGTGAACATCATCTTGGTCTTTGATTTCAGTTGAGCTTTTTGGGGGGTGAGGTGACGATGGTGTCTTCCCCTGGCTTGATTGATGTTTGGTGTTGGGGTCGGAAGAATAGCACCCTATCTCTTCACGAGTAATGACCTTGGTAAAAAAATCTGGTTCACCTCAGAGCTGGTCTTTCAAAGCATGGCATGTTTCCACTTGTTCTTTTTCCTGGTCAGTCAGCACCCGAGGCACACATTTCACAGAGACTCTTCTCATTCCCAGTCTTGAGTTAAATAAAGTTCATTGAACCTAGCTCTAAGATATCCAGATAACTTCTCCCATCTCCCCAATGGACCCTCGTCAGTCTTTAAGCACAAATGCATGAATTTTGTTGACATTTTTGTTCTTTCGGGAAGTTGATGGACGTCTATAACGTTATTTGTCATTAATCGACATTTCACCATTTTTGAAATGAGAAAACGATTTGTACACTTGAGTTTTTCCCATAGCGCCGACCTTGTAAGCTGTGTTCAACATCACAACAGTTTCTGCTGCATTTTCCCCTTAGCAGGCAACAAAATTTCACAGCCACATCCTGTTCTCTTAAATTGGCCATCACAAAAAGCAAGGTTCAAGTGAAACTCCTTTTACGAATAATTTCACTGTGACCAGAGAGAGCCTTCCCAGGTGACAACACTGGATGGGTGCACTAATTCAGAGAGATTTGTTGAGTGCTTGCCCAACAGGAAAAAATGGATAATGAATGTTCCACCCAGCGGAGCTTTTCATGGTTGTTTTGGGTACCTGCTCATGTGCTCATGAAAATTTATTATGAGTATGAGCTTTTGTACTTTATGATTCAAAGAATATAGATAAACAAGACAGTGCTAGTCTTTAAAAACTTAGCATATATAATATATGGAAAAATAGATGATTATTTTAATAATGAAGTATAATTTCTTTTAATTTTATTTTGGGGGCTTTTACAACTTTTAACACAAACCATCCATCCATCCGTTTGGGTCAAGCACATTTGTACAGTTATTACCATCATCATTCTTAAAACACTTTCTACTTGAGCCCTTGGTATCAGCTCCTTTTATCCTTTCCCTTCCCCACCCACCCTCCCTCACGAACCCTTGATAATTTATAAATTATTATTTTTTTCATGATGAAGTATAATTTCTAAATCAGAGGATTTTAAATAATTTTATTGAGAACTTTTGATTTAGAGTTTTAATTCAAAAGTTTTAGAGTATATTTAAATAGGTTGAAATTGAATCCTGTTTTAATAGTAACAATATGTAATGGATTAAGGATTCACAAGGTTGGGGAGGGAGGGGAAATAACAGGAACTTATACCAAGGGCTCAAGGAGAAAATGTTTTGGAAATGTTGATGGCAACATTTGTACCGGTATGCTTGATACAATTGATGTATAGAATGCCTTAAGAGCTGTAAGAGCTCCCAATAAAATTATTTTTAAAATAAAGGTAGAGCAGGGGGAAAAAAATTGAATCCTATTGGTATTTAGTCAAATCTTAATTTATTTTTGCTGCCACAGACTCAATTCCGACTCCTTGCTACCCTCCATACCACAGAATAAAACACTTGCCTGGCCCTACACCTTCCCACAGTGTTCTGTTTTTGGCCTTGTAGTCACTGTGTCAGTTCATCTCTGAAAGTCGTCTTTTCTGTTGGCTCTATTGTACCAAACATCCTTTTGAAGGGCTAGTCTGTCCTGATAACATGCTAAGTAAGTTTCACCAACTTTGTCCAATTCACTGTCATTGAGTACTTGGCTGTTGCTTCCATGAGCTCGAGCTGGCGTAATCCATAGTACTTAAGCAGTTCACTATTGCCCTGCTTCTGAATGCATCCATGATATATAGCAGCTAATGGTGAAACACCATGTCTTTCCCATCTTGTCAGAGTTCACGTTATTCAAGTGCTACGTAAAGTCACTCTTAAGTTGGGATCAAGTCAGTAACATTGAGTTTAGGGTGAGTGTTTGGAGTTACGCACGCACAATTTGTATTAGCTAGAGTGATTATTGTTCCCTTTTATTTC